CTTTTTTTGTGAGTGAGATGAATTAATGCATATTCATATTTATTTTAGAACTACAGTAACATCTTCTGATTTCTCTCAACATGGGGACAGGAGAGCTGTCAATCAATAAATTGGAAAAAAAAAAGTAACTTGCATTACTTATTTGAAAAAGTAACTCAGATATTCTCTTGTAAATTAAAAAGTAATGCGTTACTTTACTAGTTACTTGAAAAAAGTAATCTGATTACGTAACTCGCGTTACTTGTAATGCGTTACCCCCAACACTGAGTCCAGTTGGATGATTAACAGAAGTGCTGTATAACCCTTTCAATTGAGGATAATGGACCCTTTTACAGATTGTGATGACAGTTATTAATGTAAATCTAGCAAAGATTTTTATATTTTTAGTTTTAAAAATGTAAAATGTATATACATTTCTAACATTCTGCTACAAAAAAATAGTGAGTGACTGTTTCTAACACACTGGCAAATTTGACATCTTTCTTCTGACCAATGTAATCAATCTCTCTCTATTTTTTTCCCATTTTTGTAAAGTCATAGAAATGCTATAGTGTATTATTATCTTTATTATTATTATTGCTAATGGAGCAAATTGAACTCTCTCTCTCTCTCTCTCTCTCTCTCTCTCTCTCTATATGAAAGGATTCATGAGATATGTCTGTGATACATTACTCAACGCTGCAAAAACACGTAGAAACATTTGAAGCTCCCCTGAGCGCAATCACAAGTATGATGATGATCGGGTCAGTCGCACTGGTGCTCCTAAAAACATTTTCATAGTCACACGCAGTAGTTTTCAGTCGCAAAAATTTGGTGGGGGGTAACTGAGAATGAAAAAAGTAAACAACTCATACTTAGATATAACCACTTTGTTACGTCAAAATAAGACTTAAAATGGCATGAAAACATGATCTGTGGGTTTTTAGTTAGTAAAAGTAAATCTCTGCGTCTGTGAATATTTAGCCTATTGAGTTTGATGACTGATGACCCGAAAAATTAAAAAAATAGTTAAAAGTTAACTATTAAAAAGAATAGTTGAACATAAGTTCACAAATAAAATATATTGTTTAAATTGTTACTGCCTTGAGTTATTATTTTGGAATATATGTAAAATGCTTAAAAACATTAACTTGATGAGATTCATACGTGGCTTTAATAAATAGAATATTGATTACATTGTAAATGTAAAAATATAAAATAGATTTTTTTTCGGATTCAGATAATGTAAGTAGTTTGTAATGTTGTAGTTTCTATTCACCACTATAGAAGTTTACCCAAATATTATGACTTCTGCTACTGAGAACCACAGAAATGTGCAAATGGTCTGATCCATATTTACTTTTAAATATATTTAACAAAAAAGACAAAAAAATGCATTTGTGTTTTATTTTAAATATCTGCAATCCTGCTCTATATATCGACATCAGTATCGGCCATTGAAAAGCCCCTCTCAGTTGAGCACTAATTAAAGGCACTTTTCCCCTGCGTCCTCTCCTGTCTCCCAGCTGGAGTGTGTCATGCGTCTGGTGCAGGTGGGATGTGGTGTGAACTCTGTGACCTCTCGGTTTGCCCAGACACCAGCTCATATTGCTGCCTTCGGGGGTCATCCTCAGTGCTTGCTCTGGCTGCTGCAGACTGGAGCTGATATAAACAGACAGGTAAGACTTCACTGCGATATGAGATTGTGTATGAGACACACCTTTTTAAAGGTGAGCATGCAGAACTGCTTTATTTACATGTGAGATTGAACAAACATGAAGTTATGTGAGAAAACAGTGCAAGAAGTGTGAAGATGAGGAAGAATTGTTTTAGGGGAGTGATATTAGGCACAGCACAAAGCAGTTGTTTACATTGCTTAGCAGTGTCACAGCTGGTCACATAATGTGCACTGTTTTACAGCAGCTTTGAATGTGATTCTTCTGATCAGAAATCAGACGTTGTATTATCAATTTTATTAAAGTTATATTGTTTTTTTCCCCTCAAGTCTTACATAACATAACATTAAGCTGTTAAGCATTTTGCACTGAATAATGAATAATATATTTAATGTAAAATACATTAAATATAAAATACATAAAAAATAAACGCTAAAATGCTGCAGTAAAAAGTTGCCATGCCATATTAGGTTAAAAACTGAAAATAGTCTAACATTGCATAATATGTTATTTAATTGTAAAATACTGTCCAATTTAATGTCAAATATTTAAAGGATTAGTTCACTCCCAGAATAAAAATTTCATGATAATTTACTCACCCCCATGTCATCAAAGATGTTCATGTCTTTTTTTCTTCAGTCGCAAAGAAATGAAGGTTTTTGAGGAAAACATTCCAGGATTTTTCTCCATATAATGGACTTCAATGGTGGCCAACAGCTTGAAGGTCCAAATTGCAGTTTCAGTGCAGCTTCAAAGTGCTCTACACGATCCCAGCCGAGGAATAATGGTCTTATCTAGCGAAACGATTGGTCATTTTCTAAAAAAATTATATACTTTTTAACCACAAATGCACATCTTGCACTAGCTCTGTGATGAGTGTCTGCAAATTCACGCATGACGTAGTCACATTGGAAAGGTCACGCACGGTTAGCTCTTCATCTGTGTACTCCGGTTCAAAGAGGTAAGGTAGGGTAAAAAACTCCATCTCATTTTCTCCTCCAACTTCAAAATCATCCGACATCGTTGTTTTACCTTGTTTTGTAAATGGCGTTTGACTTTCTTTGCACATTCGCTTTATAAACACTGGGTTGGTACTTCCGCCTACATCACGCGTGACCTTTCCAACGTGACTACGTAATGCATGAAGTCGAGCTAGTGCAAGACGAGCATTTGTGGTTAAAAAAAAGTATATAAATGTTATTTTTTTAAAGAAAATGGCAGATCGTTTCGCTAGATAATAGGGGTGTCGAAATTAATCATTTCTACGATGCATCGCGATGCAGACGAGGACGATTCAGTATCGGTTCAGTAATAGACCATAACCGATTATAACGTACTGACGCTTTTCTGATGTCATTTGTCGCGTACGTGCTTTGTCACGGTAGCATACAATGGCAGAGGGAGGCGAGACGCGAGTGCGAGTAATTAAAAATGCTCCAACTACTTTAAAAGCCGACATCTGGGCACATTTCGGCTTTTATGAACAACCTGGTAAGCAGCATCGTGATATCGAATTGAACTGAATCGATGACATGATAATCGTAATCGAACCGAACCGTGAGACCAGTGTAGGTTCACACCCTTACTAGATAAGACACTTATTCCTCGGCTGGGATTGTGTAGAGCCCTTTGAAGCTGCACTGAAACTGCATTCTGGACCTTCTACCCTTTGACCACCATTGAAGTGTTTTCCTCAAAAACCTTCATTTCTTTGCGACTGAAGAAAGACAGACATCTTGGATGACATGGGGGTGAGCAAATTATCAGGAAATATTTATACTGGAAGTGAACTAATCCTTTAATGTACAAATAAATAAAAAAAATTAAAAAAAAGTGCTGCCTTAAGAACCTCATTAACATTAAGTTACCATGCCATATATGGTTAAAACTGTAAATGGTCCAAAATTGCATAATGTGAAATTTTTATGGTGAATTACTGTCAAATTTATGGTTTTTGCTAGTAAAAATGGTCATTATTTACAGTGAACAACAGTAAAATGACGTTCCTAACACATAATTATTTTGTATATACATAATTTTCTTCTCATTTTTGTTAAGTACGGTACATTATGGTTTTTAGTGTTATATTTTCTGTTGTTATTTTCTGCATTATTTTAGTGTCGTGTGATGTTTTGTAATTGAGTAAAGGCCATGTTTTATGGACAAGCCATTTACATGATTTCTGATTCATCTTGTGGTTTTCTATTGTAGCATCTGTATTATTATTATGGTGGTTTTCATTTTAAGGTAAAAAACTAATTTTGGTAGTTTGGTAGTAAATTGATATATTGACATTATATCACTTAATGAAACATGATGAGTTAAATATGGTCATAATCATAGTATTTTTTAAGGTGAATTTGAATAAGATGAAATACCGCCGACCCCTACAGTTTTCCTATTTGAAAGTATTTATGAAATTTGGCTTAAACCTATGCTCATTTTTGATGATAACCCAGACTCAGTCAGCATTGGTTTACTGAGGCCCTGGGCCCTTCATGACTGTATATGTACTGTATCACTATTGTGTTTTCATGTGTGCAGAATGTAGAAATCCCCATCAGCGCGTAAGCATATTTCTGATTATTCATATATTCTCCGGACCCACCATTCACTGGTGTTTTACAGCAGAGAAATGAGATTACTAGGCCACTGTTACATAACCAGTGATGTGTTCTCCAAATATAGACTAGTTTCTCATCCCCGTTGGCTCAGGCAGATCAGCATAAGTCATTTAAGGGCATCGCCCGTCCCATGGACTGATCTCTTACCCAGTGTTGTCTTGTACTGCTCGGATGAATGTAGCTGGAGTGAAAAGCTACCGAGTCTGACCCACAGTCCTCTACCGTGAATCAGTGATTCTGCTGAAAGGGCTGGCTGATGCTCAGCCGCTGATTTAAGAGTTTACTGTAGCTTTCTGTCAGGGTGCAAGGTTCAGCCGGCTGATCCACCAGCTCCTAAATAAATGATGATGCTGGGTTGTGACGGAGAGATTGCACTTTCACTTCCAGCAAGTTGGTGCTTGCCGCCATATTCAGCAGTCTGGGGAGTCTGCAGACACAGTGTTGTGATGGTTAACCAAAACTGTTCAAAATCATTTTCAGTAATTGACAAAGCTGAAATAAAATAAAATATTAGATAACTAATAAACTTGAAAAGTGTGTCTTGATAAACAGAAATTAGAAATGTTGCCTTGACAACTAATTAAGATGAAGACAGTTGAAAGTACTAAAATTACTAAAACTGAAATAAAGTAAAGCTAAATAGACATATTAAAAAATCAAAAAACAAAAAAAACACAACCAAATTACTAAAATTTAAACTAAAATTAAAGTGAATTATCTCAGATGTTAAATTATTAATAAATATTATAATATCAATTCATAATAAATGCTTAAATAACACTTTGCAGTATTGGCTTTTTCTAATAGATAAATTGCATTATTTTTGGATGGGCCCGACACAATTATTAATCCAGATTACCAATCATGGTTCACTTTAAATACATACTGTCATGCACATATGGAATTTTAAGCAAATAAAAAATAGCTGTAATATACATTATTTCTGAAGAATCATTTGACACTCAAGACTGGAGTAATGACTGCTGAAATTTCAGCTTTGCATCACAGACTTAAATTATATGTGAAAATATATTAAAATAGAAAACAGATTCAATTGTATTCATATTTCACAGTATTACTCATCTACTGTATGTTTAAATGAATGCAGCCATTAGACATGACTTTCAAAACAAAACAAAAAAAAGAATACAGAAACGTTTAAACGAGTGTAAATACTCAAAACATATTTAAATATTTTAATATGAATGCTATGTATGATTTTGATATGTTCAAATATGAATAATATAATTATACCCCTGTGCAATTAGTTTATAAAGTCTTAAAGGAATCATAATTATTGAATCATTATTGACTGATTCCAAGTTCATTATGAATAAATTATGATTTTATAAGGTGTGTGTGTATTAAGATTATGATGTAATGGACAGAAGCAAAACAATTAGAATGTTAACTTGTGTGACAAATAATCTTAAGACAAAGTTTCTCAATCGTGACAGTCCTAGTCCCAGCTGGTGCTTTAGAGTCTCTCTCTCTGTCTTGTAGGACTATGTTGGAGAAACCCCCCTCCACAAAGCGGCCCGTGCTGGCAGCATTGACTGCGTTAACACGCTCCTGGTCCAGGGAGCCAAGGCAGAGTAAGTCTTCTCTAACTGCTGCTCACTCTAACTGTGTCTCTCTCTGTCCCTTGCATCCATTCAAATGCCCCACTGGTGCTTCATTTAAGAGGGGCTCCATCAAAACAGAAACATTGATTCTCTTGATTGTAAGGCTTTATATTTCATTTCTTCCACTGCAAGACAATACGGGAGCAAGACACTATTTTAGTGAGACTGTATTGAACCGTATTGATTTCCCTACCCTTCTCTTTAGACAAATGAACCCTATTGTCCTGAGTGTTAGAAATCTGACTGGTTTTCAATCTCACATTTTTACTTGATTTTAAAACCTGCATGCATGAGTTACAATTGAATGTCAACTATAATGTTTATTATCTCTTTATTATGCTTTTACTTGATAAATTAAATATTTAAGCCATGAAAGTGAGGCTGTTACAGTTTGTACCTACAATTTTAAGGGGTGTTGTTAAGCATGACATGGAAAATGTTGAATAAATGGATATGTGCATATTAAATTCATTATTATATTATCAGAACAATCTATGAAGTCAATGTTTTAGCTGATTTTTTATTTTTTATTTTATTTTAAGATTTATTGAAAAATGTAAGCTTATAAAAAGTTCTGGATCAATATAGGCATGTTTACTGTTAGTATATTAATGTATTTAGATGAAGATTATTATTATTAAGATCTTTTTCATTTAAGTCGGTTCGTTTTGACAGGGCAAAAAAATTGGTAAACATTAATGAATTATGTGTCATGAACTAACAATGAACAGCATTTTTGCCACATTTATTAATTTAATGTTAATCTATAATTATTTTGTTCAATGTTAATTTGTTTGTTAACGATGCATTATGCATAATTATACAGTTTGAAATGTTAATTTAGTACATTTTAGTATATGTAAACATGAACATTAACCAAGATTAATAAATGCTGTTCTTGTATTGTTCACTATTAGATCATGATACCTAATGCATTAAGCGATATATTAACTAATATCAGTGTTGAGCTAAAAATGTGATTTTGAAAAGTGACCTAATACTCAATCCATTTTTAAATGTGTTTTGATGGAGCTCTTCTGAAATCTGTGACCAGATTTGGTCTTATTGGCTTGATTTTGCCTAAATGTGAAATGTATTCTGAATTCAGTAATTTGATGATCTCTATCATGTCTTCCCTGTGAGGTGCAGAGGTAATATCCTTTTTGTTTCCTTCACTTTTTGATTTTAAATGTGTTGCCATTACAAGGTTGCAAACTGTTGCACATTTCCTCACAGCTCAAAAGCAAACAACAACTATTGCTATTTTACATTGTTGCCAAGGTTTTTTTTCCTTGTTGAGAGATAAGATGAAATGAAGTGTGTGAGACCCCTTGGTGTCAAGGGGGATTTGAGCTCCATTCAAAATGTCTCTGCAGTGTCATTATATCCCTTGTAATAACATTTTTATTGCTTTTTTTTTTCTTTTCTTAGTTCTTTCTAGTAATCTAAAGCTGTCAAAACATGGTATTCTGTTTGAAGTTGAACAAAAAATAATGCAAGAACACACATGAACAGCTCTGTTTGATTGTGAAATTTTGCAAACAGAAAAACTAGGGAAATAGTAGCCACATATCTATAAATATATAGTGTTCATCAAATGCCAGGGGTGTCCAGTCCTGCTCCTAAAGGGCCACTTTCCTGCAACGTTTAGTTTCAGCCTGCCAGAACACACCTGACTGAAAGTTTTTAGCTAATCTTATATAGGGCTGGGTATTGATTTAGATGTCCTGATTTGATTCTGATTCGCAAGCTCTCGATTCGATTTGATTTGATTCCTGATTCTATTCTCGATTTTTTTTTATTAAAGTCAATGAATATAGTTTTAATACAAATGGTATTGATATTTCTAAAAAAAAAAAAAATGAACAGTGAACATCAGTTTACAAATGGTGTATTGATAAAAAGAAATTAAGAGCCACAGACCTGTATTTTAAACTTTTTCTTTTCTTTTTTTTTTTAAACAATAATAGTGCCCTATAAATAGTTTTTCTTAATTTTTTCTGTTAACCAAATGAGGGCTTAAAACATTCATTTAATTTATCCTTTAATCAAATGAAGATTAAACCCTTCATTTTTTGGCAAACAAAGTGCTACACAACAGATTTACTGTCAAAATTAAGAAGAAAAAAATGTCTGATTATTCCTTTTAAAATAAAGCTTTATTATTATTATTTAGTAGTAGTTGTAGTATTACATTGAGTCTTTCATTCTACTGCACAAAAGTAATATATTTTTGTCACAGTTTCTTCAAGTTAAACCAAACTTTTATTTTGACGGGTTGCTGTGAAGAACTTGCAGCTGCTGTGTATGTGATATGATGGTAGTTTTTCTCAAATTAAATGGTAAAATGCTCATGAAGTGACTCTCAGAGTAGCTCTGGAGATGATGTCCGTGTGTTCATATTGTCATAATAGTGAGACGGCAGGGACTGAAAATATCGTTTGATATTTGACATACTGTTCTCCAACAACTTGTGCATGATTTAGATCATTTAGATTCAGGTGGGTATACACAGCATTTGTTATAAAACATGATATTGACTTTGCAGAGGGATTCTGAAGGAAGCTCTTGCATTATTAATGTTGATTATTTTGCCTACAGATCTCCAGGATGTTGCAACAAGGTATAACTATACAAGTATAAGCTTGTGTATGTTTTGAGTTGACAGCACACACATAGTGTGGTGCAGGAGCGTTCTTGTTGCTCATTCTGGAGAAATTACTCTTGCCATTTCATATCTCTTGACAATGAGAAATGTCACTTGGGAATTCATTGAGGCAATACTTTAATGATGATGGAGGACATCCTGAATAACTGGAAAGGATCTGATGTTCCACAGAGACACATACATGAAACCAACACTTCCATTAGTGACTAAAATGCTATTAAATATATTTTGGCTCAATTTGTGTAATTTAAAATGAAATTTTAAACTTAGATTACCAGATCATGAAATATGCAAGTCTAAAATCTATCGTACTTAAATGTGGTTAGTAATTCATGTGTTTTTTTATGCTTTTTAAATGTGTTTTCTATGCTCAGCCATCAGTTGACTGAGGTCAAACAAAGTCCTACTTTGGAAAGCAGAGGTATGATGTGTTTTGTGGAACAGCAGGTACAGTAATGGGCTTGCTAGTGTTTCTTGCAGGCTTTTGGTCTGAAGAACACAAGCCTGCTGAACGCACTACAACTGCAAATTCACCCTGCAGATGATGTTCTCCTCTTTTGAATGCCATATGGTTATGGTCAGCACAACATACATTAATATCATTTGTAACATTACGTTAATACCATTAATTAAAACTGGTGACACTTTACAATAAACCTTTAAGTTGTTAACATTAGTTGCATTTTGTGTCATGATCCAAAAATACGTATTATATTAATGATTTAATAATCTGTGTTAATGATAATTTATACAATTAGTATTGTTCATTTGTGTCCTTAATACATAAATATTAATGTACACAACTTAAAATGATAAAAAATTGTGTTTGTATATTAATTATCATTCACATAGATTAGTAAATGCTGTTCTTGCATTGTTCATTGTTAGTTCAGGATGCCTAATGCATTAACTAATGTTAACAAATTGAATCTTATTATAAAGTTTTGCAATAAAACTATTAAGATCATTGCTACATTGTGTGAAAAAAAGAACAATTACAGTTACGTGCAAACTTTACAGTATACAAATGACTAGAAGGCTGCATTCTGTTATTGTCATTTGGTAGTTATTTAACAGTACACTAAAAATACAAAGCAACTGTTTGGCTGAATTGCGGACTTCACAACATTCCATTTCACTCCCAGTCAGTAAAAAATACTGGGGGAAAAAATGCAATGTAATCCCACTGCTTCGGTTCAGAAATTCTTCAGTTCAAGGGTAGCACAGATTTCATCAGTTGATGTTATTCTGAGTATAATATTTTCATTGCGAACTGAAATTGCAATTCAAAATTTTACTTATGTATATGATATGTAAGAGAATCTTTTTAGCATTTTAGCTAGTCTTTAGATTGAATAGTTTCATGACCTTGTGTTAAGGAAAAAGAGAGAACCCCTCACACACCTGAAGTGTTTCAAACAGTTGTCCAGGAAGACAAATAGGCACCAAAAAAAATTTCTCAAAAATAGCTAATTCAACCACTGTTGCATTCAAACACCTATACGTCCCAGTGGTACTATACTACTGTCTAAAATATATATACCTATAAAGGTATATTTCACTTGATAAACTTTTATTTTCAAAAACAAATCTGTGATAGAAGTAATCTTATGAATGACTGACGTTGTATTGCTTTATCCATGAGTAACATGTGGCATTCAAAATTACAAAGGAGAAACATTTTGGTCTTGGGGATCTATGGGTTGTTTTTAAATGTTCAATTTCTGTCAGTGCATGTTGTCTTGCTTGACCTATTGGAAATGCTTTTGAGATGGTGATGAAATGTGTATTTAGCAACCAGACAAATAGGAGTGTTGATGTTTGTTTTTATGGGAGTATGAACAATGTTTCAAAAGTCTTACAAGTGGTAGTGGCACTGAAGCCCCAGTCAGTATTAAAGCCGATGACAGCTATAGTGTGTCAGATTTATCCATAAAAGGCTTTTATAATATAGGCCTAGTTAGGAGATTGAGAGGAGTGAGGGTTTGGGGTTTTATTTTGTATTTTAAAAACTTCTTGACTCCTAGAAAAACATTATTCTTCCTTTGTTATTTTTTTAATAAAAAAATCAATGAATAAAAAATTTAAATAACAATAAAAAAAATAAATAACTAATAGCTATTTTGTTTCCCATATTACAAAATCTGGAACCTCAGCTAACAGGATTTAAGTTGAGTTAGTTTGATCCTTCCCATCAATGGCACAGCACACAAACATCACAATTGTCCTGTATTACCTACCTTATACATTTAACACATTTAGAACTATTCTTAGTAGGGAAGCAGTATATATATATATATAT